GTGTGGAGCAAGCTATTTTTATAAAGGAATTACCTGTTCGTAGGCCGGTTAGATATATCTCTGAAAGAATGAAAAAATTGACCCATTAGACAGACCTGGTGTTCTCAAGGCTCTCCACAGTTTCAAGTCATCCTCGTAGAGGAGGCAAGATGAGCTCAACTGGGAGGGCAGGTCATTCACGAACAGGGGGAATAGCACAGGTCCTAGAACAGAACCCTGTGGCACTCCACTGGTGACAGGACAACAACGCGACTCCAGTTGGGCAACTCCAACAGTAAACGTCCTTCGGACGAGGAAATCCTCAATCCATGCTAGTAGAAGGTCCGTGACCCCGTGAGCCATCAGCTTCTTCAACAACCGTCCATGTGGCACCTTATCGGATGCCTTGCTGCAGTCAATAAAGATGACGTCCGTTCCGTGACCGGCGGTCTTGGCAGACGCTCATTGCTCCCGAGATGGTAGCAGATTCGAGACGCAAGATCGCTGCGGACGGAACCCATGCTGCTCTGGACAAAGAAGACCATTTGGTAGGAGGTGTTCCTGGAGTCGCTTGGCGAGTACACGTTCCATCAACTTGACGGCCACACAGGTGAGACTGACCGGGCGGTAGTTGACGGGGTCCCCACGGGCTCCTCCTTTGAACAGGGGGCGTACAATCGCGGTTTTCCACTCGGCGGGCAACCTCCCCTCGGTCAATGATTGTTCAAACAAGACGGCCAAGGTAGGTGCAATGACCGGCGCCAGTTCCTTCAGCACGATGGGAAGCAGTCCATCCGGACCCAGTGACTGGTACGGTTTCAGGGCCGAAAGTGCATCACGCACCTTGTCTACCGAGATGGCTTGCCAAGACAGCAGAGGCGCAGAGCACGACAGCGGGGGGGGGGGTCGGTGATGTATCGGTGGCGCAGACAGATGCATAGTGTTGCGCAAAAGCTTCCTCCTTGTCAACATCGGTTTCTGCCATGGCACCGTTAAACTCCAACGATGGTTCATCGGACAATGCACGCGTGCGGCGACGGAGGTATGCGTAGAACCGCTTCAGCATAAAGGCCGCTTTGGATGCCAGGGCTTCCTCGTACAGTCGCTGTTTTCTGCATTTCATTTCAGAGCACGCATTACGCAGCACCTTGTATTGGTCATAGATCCGTGAGCACGGAACGCTTTCCAAGCCCTGTTTCGACGTTTAAGCATCGGACGTAACTCGCGGTGAAACCAGGGGGGCTCATAGCGTGTGACCGGAAGCGTTTAGGAGGAGAGAAGGCTTCCACCAATTTAAGGATGCCGTCGCGGAAGGTAGTCTAGGCAAGGTCTACTCCCTCAGGGCAGGTGATCACCCAGGGGAGGGACTACGCTGCGATCCTCATGCCATCGTAGTCCCCTTTCCAGACATTGGGTCCGGATTGTAGTTGAGAGCGATACGGAGCTCCACGTCGCCAATGCACCAACAGGGTCGAATAATCGCTCGAACCGAGTGGCGGGAGGTGGTCAAAGACGTCGATGTCCGATGTTCGCGGGGATAACACTAGATCCAGGACTGACTGGACAGAGTCGCTGATCCTGGTGGGCTCGCGGGAATGTTGATGCAGGGTCAACTGGTTCGCTACTGCGAGAAGGTCTATGGAGAATTGGTCCGCTCCCCGTCGGTAGAGGTTTTCGTCCCAATCTATTAGGGGCACATTGAAACCACCCAAAATCAAACAGTGGACGTCAACAGCCCATCGCCGCATATCGTCCAGGATGGCCACCGGGTTTGTCGCTGGTGGCATGTAGCGTACTCATATCGCAGTGTAGCCGTTGCAGCTCAGTTTGATTTTGCACCATAGCGCTTCTCCCTGACCGTCAGGATCGGCGTAGCTGTAGAGGTGAGTAACCGGTACACTTTCTTGAATAAACAGCATGACGCCCCCACCCATCCTGGGTTGTGCACGGTCCGAACGGAATGGCGCATACCCCGGGAGCGAGACCTCAGAGTCAAGAACGTCGGGCGTGAGCCAGGTTCCGGTGAGGGTGATGACCACCGGGAAGTGCTCCACGACAAACGCCTTCAACTTGTCTCGTTTGTTCAAAACACTACGTACATTTGCAGACACTATGCACGCGCGGCTGCACCTGTCGATGGCAGCCGTCGGCACGTCCCCCCAGTCTACGTCGGAGGAGACTCTCTGTTCGGTATTGCAAGAGGGCTCCACCGGAAATGTGGTCTCCTTCTCTGGACCCGAAAATCCCGGATGAGGAGATCTTGTTCACCACTTGCTCGACGCTCGACGCTCTCGTCCAATGCTTTCTTCAGCTTCTGCCGTTCGTCCGCGTTGAGGTCGCGTAGCAGCCTGACGGGCTCTCATTTCAGGCGGAAGACACGCTGGAATGCAGACTTGGTTTCCTCCATCGATCCGAGGACGAATTTCAGTGGACGAGGGGCACCGCCCTCTCGTTTGGCTCCTAGCCTGAAAGCGGCGTTCATTCCTATCGCCTGGGCTTGTGTTTCCTCACCGGGGACGGAGAGTCTGGCCAGGACTCCTCGAAGCAAGGATAGGTCCGCGTTAAGCCGGGCTTGCGCCAAGGGTTTCATGGACTCCGGCATATTGACAGCCAGGAAGCATTGCTGCTGTTCCTGTCACAGGTCTCCTGCAACAGCCGGTCAGGGGACTGGCCTGGGGTGGAGGTCCCTCGGGATGCCGGTTGGATCAAAGGGCGTTTGGTGACGCTTGTCAAAGCACTGTTGGGGGCATGCGTGGCAGCAGCGACTCGGGCGTAAAATCTGTTGTTGGCGTTGGGCAACGAAACTGGTGGCTCCGGCAGTGTCTGAATCGGCGCAGGGAATCCAGGCTTGATCGCTGTCGCTGTCTCACTCGAGGTTGGTCGCGTGTTGTTGGTTGCACGCCTGCGTCTCGGTAGTTTCTGCTCATCGGCGGTATCAGTCGGTGGCGCCTCGGCTGATGCGGACTGCTGCGCACGCTCTTCCAGACCACTTAATAATAATAGGTGTATATTTCACGAAGCCCGTGAGACATGCTCAATGCATGATCAAATGTTCAGAGTGAGTATACGTACAATAACAGCGTAATTACATAGGTAGACAATAATAAATATAGAAAAGTGGTGGGGATCAGAATGAAAACACAGAGTGAAAGGAACACACAGCGGACAAGGTCGTAAACGAATTTATAAAGGATGGAGGATGCAGTGAAAAATACATGTCACTAGAACTGCAAGTAATAGTAAAGCTGGTCTCGGAAGGATTAGCCGTACGGCAAAAGTGTGGAAAATACGAAGAGGAGGTCAGTAATACAAATGCTGCCGGATGGTAGAGGCATGAGGACAGGACTAGAAAGTGGGGAACACAGCAGAATAATACGTCGGTAAAGGAACACGTTTCACTCTATCCTGCATTACAACTCGCTTTTGGAGACAAGTTCATTGGGTTCGGGGCTTCAATCAATCACGAGTGGTTTGGTTTATTTAGATTAACTAGGCGTAGGTCGCTTTGATGTGGGACTGACTACACACTAGACACCCAACCTTAAAACACCTTGTAGGTGAGGCAGGGGGTGTAATCCTCTACCTGGTCCGGAACGTGGACGCGTGTAGTCAAAACGGTTGAAACAGCCGTGCCCAACAACCATTGCCGGAGCAAAATTGTCTATTGCGAGTGAGGATCCCAAGCCTTCGTCAGGCCCAAACCAAACGAATCTGGAACAAAGAGGCGATATGCAGCAGTCTGGGGTAGTACCCAGCTGAAAAACGGAAAGGAGAGCTGGAAATGGAGCATGCGGCGGAACAACACAGAAAATGAGTGGACACCAAGAAAGTTGTACTAAAGTGATAGGGTACGGAGTCGACTACAGAATATTGCATCAAAAAACATGTAAGAGTATATAAGAGTATATATATATATATAAGAGTATATACCACACAGGATTGTGTTCCACGGATCCTGCTTTGAGGCTGGTTCCGTGTACTAGTATTATTGGGTTAAGAAAGTGTACACAGCTACCTGGTTAGCATGTGCCACAGACGAGAAAAGATAAGATTGGGTGAAAACATTTGGGAGTTTGATGCCAAATGCGTGTACTGATATGAAAATGTTTGAGAAAGTGGGCACCGGCTCCTGGTGAGCATGTGCCATAGTGTTTAACCAATTGTGTCAAACCGATTAGAGATCAGTGGGGGATGAATCAAGCGAAAATGGATCAAAGTGCTTTTACAAGCCTGTACCTGCAGAGATTTTGTTCCACAAATCTAGCTTTGGGGATAGATGCGTGTACTGGTATGACATTGTTTAAAGATGTGGACACTGGGACCTAGTTATGATGTGCCACAAGTGTTCCAAATTAGTCTCGCGGATGCATAACATCTTGAGTAGGATGTGTTATATTACTTAGGTATGTGTACCACGATGGATCAAGTTACACAGACCCCGCTCTAAAGCTCAATCAGATTTCGGGTGGTCAATAGTCAAGACCCATTTCGAATACAACATCCATACTTATGCTTCCGTGCATTGCGGCAATTGTGTCGATCGTTCAGTGTATAGCAAGTTGTTTTTTGAACCCTTCATGTTTCACAGCCTTACGCACTTCCGTTGGCAGTTTGTTCCATAATCTGGAGTAGGTACTAAGGAAAAATCTTTTTCGTGTTTCAGTTCTATCGAGGGTTGTGGGGAGTGTGTTTGCAAGCTTACGTAATGGGTATTGTGAGTTTTCTAGAAAATCAATTTTAGTCGTGGAATGGGCTTTTTGTATATAAAACCATGTAAGATAGTGAGATTTAGTCTAATCCGGCACAGCCGAAGGGGATCCAGGCTAAGGAGAATGCATCTTTCTATATAGTCCAGGTTTGTTGATCAACCAAACATTTTTTTAGTAAATTTAAGCTGGACTTTTTCAATGGCTTTCCAGTCATGTTTCCTCATGCTGGAATATACAATTGAGGAATATTCTAATAAAGGTCTTACATGCGATTTATATAGGGTAATAATACTCTCCCGAAGGCTAAAGTAACTGAATAAGAGGTAAATAGTGCGCTTTGCCTTTGCTATCTGGAGGGCGCAATGCTCCGAAATGTTTAAGGTACAGGGAAAGTTTTAACCCAAATCTCGAATAGAAGAGGTTTGGGCAATGATGGCGTTCTTCATAGTCAGAATACCAGGAGGGAGTTGGCATCTATAGGACAGGATTTTGCTCCTTTTGGCAGAGACGCCCATCGACCACTCAGAGCACCAGTGATCTAGGGCTAAAAGATCAATTCGAATTTCGTCAAGGGCATGTATTAGATTGTTTGGGGGAAGGAGTATGCAATTTTGATGTCATCAGCATATAAGAATGGAGTCTCATGTTTGATGGATTTGCATATATCATTTATATACATAAGAAATAGTAGAGGGCCAAGGACGCTGCCTTGTGTAACCCCACTTGTCGCCTGCGGAGGTAAAGAGGAGAAGCCATCTATTGAAACGACCTGTGTTCGTTTCGAGAGATATCATGCCGGCCATGAAACTAATGGATCACCTAGTCCATAGGATCTAGCCCTAACCGTTAGTCTTAAGTGGGATACTCTGTCAAAGGCCTTCGTCATGTCTAGGTAGACCACTACGTAGGCGTTTTTGTCGTCTACCACGTTTGTAATCAGGTTTAGGAAGTCAAACTGGCAAGTTTGACAGGAACGATATTTCAGAAAACCATGCTGTCGCTGAATGAGATGGTTTCCGGAGAAAAGATAATTAACCAATTGTTGTTTAATGATTTTCTCCATTATTCTGGAGATTATGGGAGTGTGGTTTATGGGGCGATAATTAGATGGGTCTTGGGTGGGTCCAATTTTATGCTGAGGAATAATAGTGAACCGTTTCCATTGGGATGGGACAACACCATTAGTCAGTGAGAGGTTGAATAATTTTCGTAAAAGGAGGGGCATGTCTGGCCCTCCGAAGCGCAGAGCTCCCCACGGTAGTCCATCGGGCCCAGGGTATGAGGAAGGTTTGGTAACTCGGAGGAGCATATCAATGTCATTTACTGTAAAACTGATGGTAGTCAAAGAATCAGTCGTGGGTAGTGGAAGACTAGGGAAGCTGGTGGATGAGTCTTTTATGTACGAGGAGGTAACTGTAGAGTTTAAGGCTTCAGCGATTGTCTGGGGGGAGTTGAGAGAGATATTTCCAGGCAGAATTAAGTGCGAGATGCTGAGATTTTTGACTTTATTCCTAGCCTTATGTAATTGAGACATTTTCCATATTAGATTTGAATGGAACAGAGCACTGAGTTCCTGGTTTCTGTGTTGTTTGGCCGTTTTTAGCTGGATTTTTCTTGAAATGTCATGCAACTGCATCAGGAGAGAAAAATCGTGCGTGGCTTGATACCGTTTAGAAATTTTATTGAATTTAGTTTTTAAATTCTCTAATTGAGTTAGGCGGCGGGTAGATACAACGAAGTTAGGGAGCAGATGCAGCTGATAATTTTTTGATAGTAGATATCCAGCGCTGGTTGGGGGTCAGGCGAAAGGAAAAAATCAGACCAATCCAGAGAACAAATCAGATTTGGTAGGTATGCCCAGTTAATTTGGTGGCGTGGGACAACTAATGGTGGAGGAAGTGTCTGTGCTAATTCTAATTTAAACATACAATGAACCATTTTGTGGTCACTGC